GAGTCCCTGAGAAGTGTTACATGAAGAGAACAGCTTCCTCGTCTGGAGGAGTCCACTTCAAAATGCCAAGGAGGATGGGAATCTTGAACAGGAGACTAGAATCCACCGTCTGCCTCCATTCAACTGACCTTGGTTTTCCAGAACAAAGCCTGGGATCGGCATTCCAAGGAACACATTTTGGGAACAGAGTCCCTGGAGGGCTCTTGTAACTAAAAGGTCTCTCTGTTTCTTTTTAGTTACACACCGTGGAGTACACATTATCCCAAAGTTAGTGTCTCAAAACAGGCGTTTTAGTATCTCAGCTTCTGTGGGTCTGGAATTCAGAGGTGGCTTACTTAGCTGGCCGGTCTCTCTTAAGGTTGCCATCAAGATGTCAGCTGGGGCTGCCAGGCATCTGAAGGCTTGACTGAAGATAGAGATCTCTTTCCTAAATAGCTCATTCACGTAGCCGACAAAAAGGCTTCAGCTCCATGCCATGTGGACTTCATCAGGCTGCTTGGGTTTCCCCACAATATGGCGGCTGGCTTCTCAGAGTGAGTGACGCAAGAGAGTGAGACTGAAGCTGCAGTACCTTTTATGACCTAGCCTTGGACAGCACATGCAGTCATACCCGATTGGTTATGCAGGCCAGCCTGATTTCACTGTGGAAAGGTGTGCGTGCCAGGAGGCGGGGATCATTTGGAGACCGTCTTGGAGGCCAACTGCCCTGGTAACCAGCACTTCAGTCTGAGGACAGACAACTTGCCTCATTCTCACAGTTGCCTTTTTCTTACCATTGTGTAGACATGAGCAACGTCGGGAGGTGAACCTGTTAACCTGTGATACGAAGAGAAGAGGAAGACACCAGGAATTTATCAGCCGCATGGAGCCCTGGCGAACAATGGTGGTGGTAGTACCCAGCCCCCCTTACTGGGTGCTCACTCTGCACCAGGTACTTCTCGGGCCTCAGGGTGCTGTGCTACCCCTGGCCCCACACAGCAGATTCCATTAAGATTTTTGAGTCAGGCCACTCATGCCTATGACACGAATGAAGTGAGATTTTTTCTGTGATGTTGGCTGCAGCACACACGGGGCCGTGCCTTGTGAAAGTTGAGACAAGATCCGTAACCTGAGTGAACCCATGTGGAGAAGATTTGAGCAGAGAGGAAACTTAGGATGGATAAATGCCCGTGATAAACAAATGATAAATAGATGAGATGACATATTTATTTCATGTACAGATAGAGGTTTAAGTACGTTAACAAGACGAGGGGCAGGGTGAGCATGGGGAATCCTTGGTTTGGCTGGAGCCTCCTTGCTGGGGGAGAAGTGTCATGTTTCCAGGCCGGGGCAGTGGCAGGGATCCCTGGCTGGGAGGCCTAGCGGTGACACCTGAACACCTGGTGGTGAGCCCCAAAACGCCTGTGTCCCAGGCCTACCCATACTGCTTATGAGCTGTGTGATCCTGGCAAGTGACTCCACGGACCTCAGTTTTCCATCTGCAAAATGGGACAATGACAGCCAACTTCACCACTTGTGATGAGGATTTGGAGAGTGAATCCTTGGCTCAGCATGAGGGCTGTAAGATGTTTCACATGGCAGAGTTGGTGGCGGGTCACCAAGGTGGTGGTGCCCCAGGTAGAAAGAACCTTTCTAGAAATTCTGCTGCCTGGAAGGGTCCAGTGACACCCAGGGGACCCTCACAAAACAGACCGTGGTGACGTCTGGGGCTGCCCACAGGGATGATCCCCAAGGAGGCTAGGAGGAACTCAGCCCCTTCTTCTGCTGGGGCATGTGGAGGCCTGGAGCCTGCCCCGCCTCTTCCTGTCCTGTTGGGGCATGATTTTCAACAGGGAGGATTCTGGGCATGTTTACCCTCGGAAGTCTTACCAGGCTGAGCAGGACTTAGAGGAACCCCGAATATATTTGCTGTCCCAACAAAAAGACCAGGTATAGAGAGAACGGGCCCAAGAAGAGGTAGGGAAAGGAGGGGGCTTTGGTGAGGGAGATCTGAGGACAACAAGGTTATGGGCAGCTGGGTGCGCTGGCCTCCCCTCGACATGCTCTGTGGGTGTCTTGGCTGTAAACTCCAGGCCCCCCTGGGCTGGGGATTCTCTCTCTAAGTCTTCATCACAAATGGAGCAGTTTACCGTTATCACTTCATTTTGCAGATGGGAAAATGAGGACCATGACATCACTTGCCTGGATCACATAGCTCATGACCAGTATGCATAGGCCTGGGACTAAGGCCTGGGCCGGCCATCGCTGCCTCTGGGCCTCAGTTTCCTCATCTAAAGTGAGGACAGGGTGTGGTGGCTCACGCCTGTAATCCCAGAACTTTGGGAGGCCAGGGCAGGTGAATCACTGGAGATCAGGAGTTCGAGACCAGCCTGACCAATATGGTGAAACCCCATCACTATTAAAAATACAAAATCAGCCGGGCGTGGTGGCAGGCACCCATAATCCCAGCTACTTGAGAGGCTGAGGCGGGAGAATCGCTTGAATCCGGGGGGTGGAGGTTGCAATGAGCCGAGATCATGCCATTGTACTCCAGCCTGGGCAACAAGAGTGAAACTCCATTTCACAAATAAAATAATAACATAATAACATGCAAAAAGCAAGGAGGCTGTGGGCCTCGATGACCTCTCAGCCCCTCTCAACTTCAAACACTCTGACAATTGCTGCATTTATTGAGCTCCAGCTGTATGCAGGAGCAGTGTCTGGGAGATGGGAGGTGCTGACCCCACCCCGGGAGGAAGAGCCAACCTGAGCCTGCTGATTCTGTGTGGCCTGGGATGGCAGAGTGGCCACGTGTGCTGCTGGAGAGCCTAGTGCCCCGCCCAGCTGCCATCTGAAACGTGTCCTGTTGGTGGCACCTTGGCATGGCTTGGGTGTTCTGGTCTTAGAGTCCATTTGGTTTGTACATGAAAATGTGTTAGTGCCCTCTCTTTCCATTAAGGTTCTGGTTCTTTTTTTTTTTTTTCCCCTGACAGAGTCTTGCTCGGTCGCCAGGCTGGAGTGCAGTGGCTCAATCTCAGCTCACTGCAACCTCCGCCTCCTGGATTCAAGCAATTCTCCTGATTCAGCCTCCCAAGTAGCTGAGACTACAGGTGGGTGCCACCATGCCCGGCTAATTTTTGTATTTTTAGTAGAGGCAGGGTTTCACCATGTGGACAAGGCTGGTCTCGAACTCCTGACCTTCTGCTGCACCCACTTCAGCTCCCAAAGTTCTGGGATTACAGGCGTCAGCCACCGAGCCTGGCCCAAGGTTCTGTTTTATATTCAAGGCATCTTTTAGTGCTTAGAGATAAACTTGACCATGTCGTTCTTCATGTAAGCCCTTCCCCAGCTCCTCATTACCCCCAGATGACAGTCCATGCTGGGAGTGGCCTCAAGGCTTTCTGGGACCTGGCATGGGCCAAGCTCTGCCACCTGGGGGCTTTCCTCCCCTTCCTCTCTCTCCTCCAGAAACACAGATTGAAACGTGCCATCTCTCTGCCCTCTAGAGCGTTACACTTGCTGCCTCCTCTGCCTGGAACTCTCTCCCTCTGCCCTCACAGGGCTCCCTAAAAGTCACTTCCTCCAGGAAGCCCTCCCTGACTAGTTGAGCCACGTTAGTTTGTGCTCAGGCTCACCCTGCACTTCTCCTTGGTTATACCCTTCATAAGAGACCCGCATCCCACTCCCATGCTGGGGCCACTCTTGGATTTTCATGTCTGCTGCCAGCACCCAGGGGAGCTCCGGAAATGTCTGCTGGGTGAGTCATGAACCCACAACCTGTTGATCTACGTTGGTAATCCGGCCAGGCCTGCCAGCAAATCACCTGACCTGGTCACCCAGGGCCTGGGAAGGACTCTAGCAGCCGCCACCCCAGCTCCCTCCTTCCTTCGCCTGAAAGATCTGCCTGGAAGGAGCGAAGGGGTTAAGTGTTTCTGGCGGCCTCTTGCTGTGTCTGCTGCAGTTCCCCCTTCCGGGGCTGCAGCAACCCGAGATTGGCGAGGAATGTTTGCAATGCAGAGCTGGGAGGAGGGCGGGCTGCTGGAGGTGGGGGCCGAGGCAGGCCCGCGGCCAGGCTCCCCAGTTGAGCAATGGCCCTGCTGGTTCCTGTAACTCGGACCCCTCCCGCCTTTTCCCGCCCTGCCTGCTTCTTCCACCCTGGCTGGGCTGCCTGCCGTGCAGTGCGTGGGGCTGGCCTGCACTCAGGGCTGCAGAGAGAGGTGGAGGGACAGCGGCCTGGAGGGCAGGAATGAAAGAAGGGGGCTCCCCAAGAGACAGAGCAGGGGTGCAGTCGGCTCAGCCACCCCAGCCAGAGAAGTGAGGCCTTGTCCGAGGTCACACAGCGAGACACCAGTGAACTGGGCCACAGCTCTGGGTCTGGCCTCTTTAGTTAGGCTGCAACTCCCACACACAGCACGGAGGTCACACTGCCACTCAGTTGGAAGCTTTGAACCTCAGGGGACCCTCTCCCAACTGAAGACAGAGCTCCCCTGCCCACGCCCTGGCTTGGCCTCGTCACCTAATCCCTAGGGTCTCAGAGAGGACAGTGCACCCACTGGTCTAGGCGCACCCCCCATCCTGCCATTAACGCCCCAGCACTGCCCACTGCCCGGCCGGGTCTTGGGGACCTTGGTCACCTCTGTTCCCCACTTCTGGGAGTATAAAGTAGATGAATGAAGGCCAAAGTGGGCAGGTTCTCAGAAGCCCTCTCTCCCCTCTTCCTCCAGGTTTTCTCAAGGAAGGACTGAGCCGGGCGTGGTGGCTCACGCCTGTAATCCCAGCGCTTTGGGAGGCCGAGGCAGGTGGATTGTCTGAGGTCAGAAGTTCGAGACCAACCTGGCCAACGTAGTGAAACCCCGTCTCTACTAAAAACACAAAAAATTAGCTGGGCGTGCTGGCGCGTGCCTGTAATCCCAGCTACTAGGGAGGCTGAGGCAGGAGAATCGCTGGAACTCGGGAGGTGGAGATGGCAGTGAGCCAAGATCGTGCCAGTGCACTATAGCCTGGGCCACAAGAGCGAAACTCTGTCTCAAAAAAAAAAGGAAGGACCTTCATGGGTACCAAATATTCACTTGGGCTCAGACACAAAACTCAGTTCTTTCTCCACAAGCACCCCCTCCTTTGAGGGGGCAGCTGCGTCCCTTGACACTGTGGGATGAGCTCCTTCCTCTGCCACAGTATTTACTTTCCCGGTGACCTCTGGGGAGGTGGCCTTGCAGTTGGGCACATCCGGCTTGAATCCCAGCGGCACCAACTTGGAGCTTCCTGGCTCTGCCACACCTCTCTGAGCTTGGGTTTCTCCATCTGTGCCGTGGAATTCAGAGAGGCCCCAGTCTCACTCGGCTGAGGTTCAGGGCCAGTGGCCTTTTCCTGGACCCACAGATTGCTCTGGGCTTTGCCTAAGACCGGCTGTAGGCAGCCCTCAGAGGCGCCACCTTGGCCACACTGGCTGGAACCAGCGGGTGGGTGGGAGCGCACAGCAGGCAGGGCCAGGGAGACGACCCAGTGCCCTGTAGAACACAGCTAGCCCTTCCGGTGAGAATCAAAACGCCCCATTTTACAGGTAAGGAGGTTCTGGGAGGAGTGGCTTGCCGCACCATGCAGAAGTAAAGAGGGATATTCACCCAGAAGGCCATACCGATAACACCAAGGACCCTCCTACTCCCTGTTCTGCCACTATTTATTGAGCACATACTACTTGCCAGGCCATGAGCCAAGAGCTGTACAAGACTGACCTATTTCAATCCAACAGCATACCTAGGAGGAAGGCCTACTGAGCTTTCTTTTACGAGAAACAGGGAGGTTGATGCATTTGCCCAAGATCACAGCTCCCGAGGAGTGGAGCCTGACTGAATTCAGGCCACCTGCCTCCAGAGGCTGGGTGCTCGGCCATCCTTCTCTGCACCTGGCTTAGAGCCCCGGCCCGGTGATCTTGGGTTAGTCCCCTAAGCCCCAGAGTGGCAAAAGGGAAAGGAAGTATCTTCAGCACCCAGTGAAGGGGGCTCAGAGAGGGGCCAGCTCTCACTCCAGGGCACACAGCCAGCCGAGCCAGGACCCACCACACTCACTCCCCGGCCCCTGGCTCCCCGTGGGTGGCTCCTCCGTGGCGGGGAAGAACCCCCACGGCCGCTCCTGCAGGCAGATGGACAGACGATGGCCCCCTCCCACGGCCTGCGGGCTGTGTGGCACCGCCACCTCCTCCCGAGCAGGCTGCCTTGAAGAAACCAGAAGATTGATTTCCTGGCAGGCTCTGCGCCGAGGAGCCCGTCCAAATGGTTTGCATGTCTGCATTTTTTACTGCTCCGTTTAATATGTATGCAAATGCCGGCCGGCTGCGCCCGCCGCGCGGCTGCACGGTCACACGCGGCGCCCCATTAAAGCGGCCGTCCCGGGCGCGCGCCTCATTCGAGGCGACGGGCTCCGGGCCCTGATAGATGGGGTGCGGGGACGGAGACAAATGACGGCCTTTGTAATTTCTTTCTCTCTTTTTCCGGGGGAGGGGGAACTCGCAAAGGAGATTTAAATATATGCAAAATTGTTTGTGGGCTGGGGGGTGGGGCGGAAACCTGGGAGGGGCGGGGCGAGGGGGGAGAGGAGCGGGTGTTTTCCTGGTGGGAGTCGGGCTGGAGGCTGGAGGGGAGCGGGGCCCCCACAGTCACCTTCTGGCGGAGACAGCCGAGCGAGCCGCTCTGCTCCTGATAAGCAGGCCCGGCCCTCTGGGAAGCGTGGGCTTCAGCCGCAGAGAAAAGGAAAATGCTGGTTATTTTCGGCCCCGTTACACGCGGGAAGCCGGGGATGGTGGATTTTTTCCCCCATCGCAGCCCCGCCGCCACCACCACTTTCTCTTCTTGGTCTTCCAGGGCTCCTAACTTCATCGGCACGGTGTCATTTGAGTTTCACATTAGCCCATGAGGTGGGTCCCGGAGTCACACCCATTGTGCAGATGGGGAAACTGAGGCTCGCGGGAGTGAAGTCCCTAGGGGAGGGTTGCAGGGAGAGCGGGTGGGGATTGGGTCTCTCCAGAGCCCTGTCTTTGACCCGCCACAGCCGTCTGCTGTCTCTCTGGCTCTCAGGGGTGGGATGTCCGCGTACCTGCGTGCGCCCCAAATCTGCCCGGACTCGCCCCGTACCACGAGCCAGCTCCCTCCTCCCGCCTGCCCCCATGAGCCGGGGCCCGGAGCCCACCCAGCTGGAGGACTGAGCCCGGCATTTTCCAAATACTGCTTAAGCCTAAAATCCGAGGTGCTGGTTTTAAAGGAATCTTTCCTAATTTCTCAGGATTTTAAGTCACATGGCAGCTGGGGGCAGAAACATTTCTGAGAGGAGGCACCAGCCTCAGGAGAGCCCCACTGTGGAGCAGACGCTCAGACCCACTGGAGACCCAGAGTTACACTCTGCAGTGTCTGCGTGTACTTGGGCGTGTCGTGTCATTGTGAGTGTGCTGGTGTGTGTGCACCAGTGGCGTAGGGGAGTGTGTATTCGTGCTTGTGTGAGTGAGTTTCAGTGTGTATGTGTTAGTGTGTTACCGGAGACAGGTTCTGATCCAGCCCCCAAGAGAGGGTTCTTGGATTTCGCACAAGAAAGGATTCAGGAGGAGTCCACAGTGCAAAGCAAAAGCCGGTTTACTAAGATGGTACAAGGGGCCAGGCGTGGTGCTCACGCCTGTCACCCCAACTCTGGGAGGCCGATGGGCAGGTCACCTGAGGTCAGGAGTTTGAGATCAGCCTGACCAACATATAGTGAAACCCTGTCTCTACTAAAAATACAAAAAA